CGAACAGCCATGTCGCACATATATGATGGTCGAATTCTTTCGCTATACGAATTAGTTAGAGGATTGTAGGCGATGATATCGAAAAAAGATGAATCTACTTCATCCAAAGATGGATCTGGTTGATCGAGAAGACCAAGATAATCCATGTGAAGAATGGTTAATACTGCATCGTAATCGTCAGGTAGACGGGTGAAGATATTCTGCGTAAAACAGCATGAAAACCAATCTAATATGAAACGAAGCTGCTTGACATCGATGTTGGGATGAATAATGAAATATCCTTGATCATCACATGCGGCTTCAAAGAAATCAGCAGAAGAGACAAATGCAGTTAGATATGGTATTTTGTTGATTTCATCCTCAGTTAGTGTCAGCACATGGCCATTGCCAAAACGAAATGACTTGTGTGTTTTTGGTAACAGTTTGTTATACTCGTTCATTTGGGTTGTTGATGAAAATTTGTGATACCCATATTGGCTAAATGGTCACATATTTATACATCCTACTTCCGACGTGCAAGTTGGAATTCTCCATTTTGATAAACTCTATTAAATGAATCATCACTGGGTTTTTCGTTTTTTTTCGTTTATTTTGGTTTCAATAATGTATCTTATTTGAATTCAACATCGCGAACGGTTGCCTGAATATTTTCGAGAATCTTAATGAAAATACCAATTGTTGTAGATCGTAGGATACTTATTTACTTTGAAGATACTACAGCGCCTTCTCCCTCACGTTGTGATGTGTGTGGATATACCTCACACCAATCAGTGATGAATATATCAAAGGGTGAATGAATAAGGCTTCAAACAAACTGAGTATTTTTATGAATTAAATTTATTTTAAGTCAATCGCTGTCCCCACTGAAAGAATAAATCACTAACGAGAATGCAAAGCGCCCTTTGATGCAGAGCAAGTTTATGAATAGACGTCGCCATCATACAATCGCATATAGTAACATGATACTCATAGAGTGGCAAATTCTAAAGGATTTGAATTCTGAGAAGTTGTATAAATTTTTCTGATAAGTCGGAATTTCTGCGGTTCATATTCACGTTAATTAGAAAATTAGATACCAGAGATTTATCAAACATTTCTGTTTCAACAGGACTTGAGACTTCGAAGAAAAAGTGAATAAAGCATGAGAACGCGTTGAATAGTATAAATTATGTAATTAGTTATAATATGATCGATTGAGTCTCCTTTCATTGTATTTAAACATTCATTCTCAGATATTTGTGGCACGTGTTGTAAAGGATGTGGGCGTAGGTATACGTTAAGTGAAAATATCCTCGTCCTCATCCTCACTCACATCCACACCCACCCTCAAATAAAGTCTGACATGTGGTTGTTTAACTCTCTAAAATTTCTTTTCAAAAATGACGCACGAGATATCAAGCACAAAGTCAATGACGCAAAGAGCAGTCAAAATACGAATAAATGTGTTGTGTTTACCTTGGAGATGTTTAATGACAAAAGTAAAGGGGGTAAGGTGGGTGTGGGTGACGATGAGGGTGCGACTGAGAGTGATGGTAAAACTCAAAAAGATATACCATCTTGAGGGTGTGGGTATGGGTATTCTATTCATTCCACACTCACACCCACACCCGATATAAAAGATGTGTTTCCGAAGGCATCCGTTCTCCGGCTGTATTAGTCAAATCACGGGAATTTACTAAGGGTATGGGTACGGATATTGACCCCCTTCCCGTCACCCACCCTCAACTAGAATACTTGAATAACTGAAAACTTGAATAGTTGAACTTTTCAGTTATTCAACTATAATAGTTGAATACTTGAATTCAACTATCTACTATTACATTTATGCAAACAGCAGGACCAGTTATGAGAGTAACACTTACACAATTTATTGCTTTACAAAATATATAGAACTATTCGTTTTTCATGTTAATATTTTACTCCTGATTCTATGAATTTCTTTTAATCATGTTATTCAATTATAATTTCTCGAGGATAAGTAAAGATAAGAGTATACATAGATAACACCCCCACCCTCAAAACGAGAACATAATAAAAATTTAGGACTCTTTTATATCATGATGTTTCGCGATCATAAAATTGGTGACGAGAAAATATAGTACTTAAAATGATCTAATTTTCAGTGTTTCAGAAGCTAAAAATACTTTTCTTATTTATGATAAATATGAAAATATTTCAGTTTTTACATGAGAAAAAATAAGATTTTCATGGAGTAAGTTTTAGTCAATTTTAAATTTTATAAATCATTATATTAAAGTCAATTAATGTCAGATGAATTATTAAATCAAGATCTTTTTAATGCGCAAGTTGAAACTGATATTTCTATATTTCAAACAATAACAAGATCAAATTTTCTTCGTTCATTAACGTCTATGCGTTCATTTATAAAT